AGTGCTTGAAATGGAAGAGGGGGAAGCGGGGAGGCACGGTCTTCATGGGGGTGGCGTCCATCAGGTGGCCGGGGGGCAGGCAGGTCTGCGTGGGCTGCAGCGGGGGCTCGTCCCACAGGCTCTGGTGAGAAGGGAAGCCAGTGCTTGAAATGGAAGAGGGGGAAGCGGGGAGGCACGGTCTTCATGGGGGTGGCGTCCATCAGGTGGCCGGGGGGCAGGCAGGTCTGCGTGGGCTGCAGCGGGGGCTCGTCCCACAGGCTCTGGTGAGAAGGGAAGCCCGGCGTGGTGGGTGTGGAGGGCGGAGATTGCTTGAAGTACATGGAGGTGCTGGGCATCCCCTCGTCCGTGGAGGGTGGCAGTGAGGGCTGGTACGGGGAGAGCCGGGTGTCCTCCATCTTGATGAGGGGCCTCTGGCCGGAGGAGGCAGATTGCATTTGGTAGAGGCAGGAAGGCTTGAGCTCGTAGCTGCCGGAGTAACCCTCCATAAAGGTGCTGAAGCTGGGCAGGGAGGTGGTGGCAGTGGCAGTGATCTCGGTACTGCTCAGGTCCATGGTCAGCTTGGCATAGTCAGGGTTCATGATCTCCGAGCTGTACTCCGAGCCATACGCGTAGGTCTGAGCTGCATAATTTGAACCGGGCGGTGAAGGGCTATACTGCGCTTGCACACAGGGCATATCTGCAAGGGCAAAGGGGGACGTTAACGACGGGCCCAGCGCGCCGAGGCCGCGGCCCAGGCCCTCGCGACCTTCTTTCCTAGAAGTTTTCCCACATTTCATGGAGCTCAGTTAGACACCCGACTCCCATCCTTGCCTGGACAGGGGACATATAAATTAGCCTCGAGTCTTTCGCCTTTCAACAAAAAAGAGGCATGAGAGGATCGATTAGGTATTAGGGAGCCTGCTCTCATCTAGTGGCAGGAGCAACTCAAATTTATACCAGTGTCAGCGAGAGAAGAATCCGTCTCGAGCTGCCCTACATCTGCTGCTTAATATACATAGGTGTCAATGAGAATTAGATAAGCAGAATGAAAACAGTTGATGGCTCTAAATCTATCTCTGTATGCGTGCGGCCGTGCCATAAAATGTTCATGACGGGTAAACGAGATTATCAAGTGCATAATATTAAAAATGATATTTATTTTGAAGGAAAGAGCATCTGCAGCGCATGTCAGAGGAACGACCCCGATCACAGTGTTTGCTACTCAGGACTTGCAAACATCAATTTTGCTTACTCAACTCTGGGCCTCTGAAGCATATTTCTGGTCAGCTAATAATTCAAGGTTGCTGTCTAACTAGTAGTTTTAAGGCTTATCTGTGGTAGAATGTTCTCCTTCAAAAAGCGGGTGGTACAACATATCCTTAAATTTGCAAAAATGTTAAAAGAAAAAGTATGTGGTATTTCTGTTTCTATGGGAAAGCAAGGTTGAGGCTGCTAATATAATTGGTTTTTATCCATTAGTCATAAAAGTTAACGTGGTTCACTGGTAACTGGGATGGTTGAAGCAACACAGTGCCTGGCTAGAAAGATTTGATTTTTGTGTTCTTTGACTTTTCATACTAGTCTGCTCTTTCCTTTGCTGCTCTCAGGAAATAAGGGACCCAATTCTGCAATCCATTTGAGCTTTGCCTGACTAAACACTGTGAGATTCTAGCCCAATATCTGCAACCCAAACTGAAAGTGCATGGTGTGTTTCAGTTCCAGAACAGAGCAAGAAAATGCATAGATTAGTGTGAGTTCTCCTGTAAAGAGAAATGTAAATAAGGAGAAATGTATATCAAAAGTAAGTGCAGTTCACCTCTTCTTAATCATGGCAATTTATGTTCCAAAAGCTCTTGAGAAACAATTCATACCAAAAAAAAACCTGTGTTAAAAATAATGGTGTTTTCCTCAGTATTTTAAGATTAAGATTAAGTAATTTAAAATTTTCACTTGAGCCTGTCACGCAGGAATTCAAATAATTTGTGTTAAATCACCTTTTAATTCTTTCCCGCCCGCTTCACAGACCAACGTATTTAAACTAAGCACCAGATTTCAATTATTGTACTGTCACAAACCATTTGGATCTTCCTTCTTCTCAAGAAAACATTAAAAACTGAGAAAAAAAATAGTGCTGTTTTCTGAAATTAAGACCTTCCTGCTTGTAAATTCAAATGCTTGAAGAAAAAAAGCAGGACAACCCTTTCACAAGCCTTGCCTCCCACTGTTATTTATGTCTTTTTCTACCGTTCTCTTTTTTCCTATCCCTGTCTGTCCATGCCATTCCACGCACACACATTTCATGGCAAGTCCTATTACTATCATTTGTTAAAGGACCCTCTGTTAAAACGTAGTGATCAGCGCTTGACCAAATAAAAAGGGAAAGAAATTCCTTCCACGCTCCTCTGCTGAGAATGACCTGAGGAACGCGACAGAGCGAGGGACGGACGGTATCACGAGTGGACGTGTTGACACACAGCCCTATGCAGGAGAAAGGCTTTTTTGCCAGCTCAGAAAATGAGCAGGAGTTGAGGGAGACGGATCATTGTGCTTTTCTTCCTGCATTTTTCTCAGCCTAACAGGGTTATGTCACTGAATTCTGGGCCAAGTGGAGTAAGAAAACAGAAGTCTAAAATAAGTCCGACCTGAGGACAGAAAAAATATCCCTAACCTAAAGGTCTGGTCTCCCCTGGCTCTGAGGGACTCCTCTTACCTCGCCCTTTGCCAGCACACTTGACGGACTAATTCTAACCCCTACTTTTCCACTTAGGGCACCAATATTAATTACCTTGCAAAGTAAATAACCTGGGATTTTTTTTTCCTTCAAGATTAAAAATATTAAAAAAGCCCCAGAGGAGGTGCGTTGAAGAGCAACCTGCCATCAAAGCCCAAATGAATGTGTGGAAAAAAAAAAACACTAAAAAAATCCCCCCCCCAAAAAAGGCAGGGTAGGGCCATGCAGAGCTGTTTTGCCATTTTTGCGAGGAGGGACGCCCAGTTTAACGCCCAGCAAGCTGCCCTCCTCCCGTCTCACGAACATCCCACCCATTTCCCCCTTGAAACCTGCCG